CAAAAAAAATAAAACTGCCTAACAATGTGCAAAGTGCTACAAACTACTAGCAAAAAGAGAAATAAAGCAGGAAATAGCAACATCAATGTCCTCGGGAGTGGGAACGAGAAGCACTCCTCAACCTTTTCTGCGGGACAACCTCTGCACCATCATCATCATCCGGGTCGGAGCTGTCATCCTCAGAATCCCCCTCAGCCTCGCCTCTGTTCCCTGAACCAAGACCGGAGCCCCCCTCCTCGGCAGATGTCTCTGACTGGCGGTCGATAACCTCCTCCTCCTCCTCCTCCTCGGGCTCCGCCTCTACAACGCGTGCCCTACGTCTGCGAGAGGACCCTCCTCGAGCTCCTCGAAAAGGCCTGGATGGCCCAGCTCCTCGGAAAGGCCTGGATGGCCCAGCTCCCTGAGAAAGCCTAGATGGCCCAGCTCCGTAAGAAGGCCCAGATGGCCCAGCTCCCCAAGGAGGCCCAGGTGGCCCGGCCCGCGGCGGAGCATATACAGGAGGCATCTGAAAATGAAAAGTTCAATACATCAGTTCAAATATGAAAATCAGATACGAGTACAGTATGTGAGTGGGGTGTGTGTCGGATGTGTTCTATAATACAGAAGAATGCTCAAAACCAATGTGTCATCAGAAGTGTGATAAATGCAAGAAAAATGAACGGTACCTGCACACCCATAACGGATAGGTGTGTCTCTCTCCGAAGAACCATGCCCTCAAGTGCGGCCATCACCCCGAGAATCTCGTCCACATACTCAGCCGGAGGCTGCAGATACAAAGGCAAAACTATCAGTGAAGGAATGAATGTCTAAGTACTCGAATGATAAATCAAAGCTATAAATCATACCGGTGGTGAATCAGGATCCCTGACATATCTATGGTTAGGAAGCGGAGGCTCTAGCAGAATCTGGTAAGGAGTCCCAAAACGTCATCCCGTTAACTCGGACGGCATGTCCGGCCATCCAGGATGAGGATAAGTCGAAGGAGTCGGAGGAACCGATCTACCCCCACCTCTCGATGTACCAGCCCTACTAGTAGAAGGGGCGTCTGCAGTTCGAGCCCGGGCCTGGCCCGAGGATGACATACCGGCAGACCTCATCATCGGGGTGCGAGCTCTCGTCAATGGAGGCATCAAATATGTGTGACGGTAAGTGGCGTGGTCCCCCTCCTCAAGATATAGTAAAGCATCACTACCCAGTATTGCGCCGACTACCTCCGAGAAAGAGAGCCTGTCAGCAGTCCGCATACTGACTGGGGGTACTGCGGGAGGATCCTGAGAAAGATACCCCCATACCTGACGCAGAAAGCGTTCCCCCAGAAACCATGCCCTGCCAACAGGTCCTTCGAGCAGGAACCTGTACTGGGAGGTGCCCGATCCTCCGGGATACTGAAATCGAAGACCATCGCCTAAGGGTGCCCAAGGCTGCCATGTGATCTGCGGATAACAAATACATAAGCCAAATCAGAAATCGGGAATGCACAGAACAAATCAAAGATGAAAATGAAAAGAACTGAAAGTTCTGAAGTACCTCCGATGGGCGCACAGTGTCAAAATACTGTCGCAGATAAATAAGAGTCTCTCGGGGTCTCGGCCGGTGCGGGCCCTCGAACACCAATGAATATAGGGTCATGGGGGGTCCTGCCACCTCCAACTCTGGGGCTAATGTTGGGAAGTATACGTAGACCCATAGCTGAGAAAAGCAGTGCAGAATGTAAGTACAAAGTGCTGAGAACAAAATACAGACTGTA